CTAAATTTATATGGGCTATCACCAGATAAAACACAATATAAACACATACTCTCAAAGAAAAAGTCTTTTTCTTAAAAACCAAACCAAAAATGGAAGAAATAGGCTTGTTGAGGGTGTCATAGAGGGAAATCAGATTTGTTCAAATCCTAAAGTAGTCCTTCTTTTCCGTCAAAAAGTATAGTTTCCAAACTACCTAAACTGTGGTGAAAAGAGTATGAAAATTCAAGATGGACAAACTCTTGGTTGACTTCTTATTCCTCCACATGTATTTATTAAAGGCATTGAATACATAGGTATTAAATAGAAAACTTGTATTAATGAAATTAAATGCACCATGAAAAGTAAATTTAATAGGTACCAAATAATTGGAGAGAAGAAAATATTCTAATAGTCGAAAGGAATGAAGTATTATGGCTTGGATTATATATATTCATAAACTCAATAAGAATTCCTAGAAATCCTTCAGAAAGAATAGTAGGCAAGTGATTTATAGTCTATATAAAGGAACAACTGTGATCTCTAGAAAGCTTGCCAAGAAAATGAAATATTAAATTATGCTTATTTCTTGCTTGGATAGGTCTACCATTTTGCTATAACAGAGCATTAGAGCAGGTAAAATGTCTTGATTTCAGCAAAGCACTGAAAAGCTTTTTTATAATCTCCTTGAGGAATAGAAAGAGAAATTGAAGCAGGATGGCAGTACTCTTGGTAGGAAGAAACCATGAAGTTTTTAAGACCACTAGGAACAAATGAATTGTGATTAACATAATCATATACAAAAGTGACAAATACAAAGAGTTTTCAGAACTCTATGTGACCAAAATCTATTCAGTATAAGATTAGTTTGGGCCAACAGAACCATCAGTTCTTTTAACAAAAGGAATGCAACTTAACCTGAGTTAATATTCTCATTTGAAAAGAGGAGCAGGGCTGGGAAGGTGGCTCAGTGGTAGAGTGCTTGCCTTGCATACATGAGGCCCTGGGTTCAATTCCTCAGCACCACATAAGCAGAAAAAAAAAAAAAAGAGGGGCAATAGGGAAAAGCACTACTTTATTATTTTTGTGCTTAATTGTTCATTCCAGTTTATCCTCTAGGTGCTGTATCATGTGGAAAAGATATTAAAATATATAGTATTGCCAGGCACCGGTGGCTCATGCCTGTAATCTTAACTACTCAGAAGGTTGAGATCTGAGGATCACAGTGGGAAGCAAGACATATATTATTAATATATATTTTACAATTAAAATAATAGTCTTTTTCCTTACTAAAACAAAAAGACTTGTTAGAGCACAGATGAGGCCTGAATTCCCAAAGCAATCAATCTAAATATTCAGAACTAAGCCATACAGGGAAGATAAGATATGGATAGAAGAGTACAAAGAAGTCAGGAATGAAGTTCATCTGCAAACATATGTATCCTATATTGATCCATTATCGACATGGATTAATAATTCACCTCTCAGTTTCTTAGCAGCCACAGTAAGGAGACAAATACATTAAAAGGTCATTGCTACACATTAAAAGTTATGTTTTTGTTTTTGTTTTTGTTTTTTCCCAGAAGCAACATAGATCTTTCTTGCTATAAAATAGAGACAAAAATTTTCTATGGGGTGCCTCATTGAACAAATACAACCTGAAATACTAAAACAATCTTAAACTAGAGTAAGTTTGTTGGATGTTTTTACTTCTAAAGGAAAGAACAGAAAATCAATCACCGTTTAGTAAAAGTCATTACTTTGGAGACCAAGTTGGGACAGGTTGATGTTGCTTAGGTTTGCTGCAGGCCCTGTTTCATGTCTGTTGGGTTTTTTGTTTTGTTTGTTTATTTTGAAGGAACTATGTATCCTTGAGATAGTCCTTTTGGGAGCCAAACATTTGCTAATACCTGGGCAGTGGAAACTTTGAACTCAGATTCCTTGGCAAGAATGAATAGTGTAGGTATTTTTTGTTGATGATGAAGTACCAGAACTTTTGCTTTCATTGAAGGATTATAATGGTTGTGAATCCCACTTTAAGGGATGTAATGACATAGGGGACAGTGGCAAACAGAGTGACAGATGTGGACATTGTTTTATATGCAAAGTACAACACAAAGTGGACTTGAAGATGGATGAAGTCATTGGCAAAACACATCCTCTGATTTCTGAAGAGCATTCTTAGCTTCTTCATATTTAACCCATGTTAAATATTTAACTACATATGTCCAGACATATGTGGAAGGCTTTGGATAAGGAGAGTGAAGTAGGGTTGAATTGTCTGTAATGAGTTTGTTGGTTTGAACTGGTAGGAGGGTTCTGGACACTGCAGGGTTCAAAGAAGAGCTCTAAAAATATCTGTCAATGAAGATTTCAGAGAGATTTTCAGAAACCATCCTAGGCTATTGGATTCTCTGATCCTGAGGTAAAATCAGGCAGAAGATGCCTTGTGCCTGCATCCATGCAAAGACCAGCGGCTGGTGTAAGGGGTCAGAACTATCGATCTGTTCTTTTACCTGGTTCTAGTCCCTTGAAGAGAACCGCGTTCCTTTACAGGAACTCACTAAGCAAGCAGAAGTGGCTATTTCCTACATCCTCTGACTCTTATGTGTGTGAATCCTAGGACCTGAACTCAGGGCTAAGACTTTGGGCCTTTTCTTTTCTGCTCTGCCACTTGAGCCATAGCTCCATTTCTGTGTTTTTTGATAGTTAATTAGAGTTAAGTGTCTCACTGGTTTTCCTTACTGAGCTGACTTCAAACCTTGATCTCCAGATCTCAGCTTTCTCAGTAGCTAGGATAAGAGCCATGGGGCCTGGCACAAAAAAAATAGTGTTAAATGTACAAATGCATGGATTGCAAAAGAAAACTCTATTGCAATTCAGTTATTGAACTATTACACATATCTCTGACATAAGTTGTATCTTTCTTTGTGAATGCATTAAAAGCAGCCCATAGCATACACCCTTGTTCTTGTCATAATAATGACAAAATTCCTGAAATAATGATGAGCAAAGTCACTCTTCAAGATGAAGCAATTATGATTTTATCTGCCCTGTAAAATGTAATATAAAAATATCTGTAATTTCTCTGAGTGACAAAGTCACAAAACTGCTAATATTGCCAAGATTTGTTGCCGTGGTTAGCAAAAAATTAAGACATAAATTCTATATACAGATCTATAGTAATTCCATGAACCCTACATTAAGACAAGCTGAGTGCCCTGACTAGCCAATCCTCCCACTTATACTCAATGGCTGAGGAGAGAAGCAGGGGAGCAATGGTCCCTTGTCAGTGTGCAGACCCATGCACGGAGCTGCAGAAGCAATGGTGTGTTGGTTGCTGGTGACTCATACCTGTAAGCCTACTCAGAAGGCTGAGATTGAAGGATTAACGCTAAAGCTAGCCCTGGCGGGAAAGTCCATGAGACTCTTATTTTCAACTAACCACCAAAAAGCTAAGTGGAGCTGTGGTTCAAGTAGTAGAGTGCCAGTCTTAAGCAAGAAAAAAACCGTAAAAGACAGTTCCCAGTCTCTGAATTCAAGACGCAGTACTGGAACAGATTTTGTCTTTTGCTGAGCCAAGAATATTGCATCTTTGCACCGTCACTCAACAGTTCTGTGTATTATACAATGTGTGAATCTCTCTCGCATGAAGATTAGGACAAGTTACAAAATAGTCTTAATTGTCAGTTTTAATATCTGTACAACTGAAATGATATGAGGATGGTGGGGGAGAATTTATAAAAGTAGTCATTAAAGGTCTCCTTTGTTTCTGCGCCATACTTTGTCAGTTTCTGGCTATGATACCTTGAATATCTTAATCTTAGAAAGGCTTACCAAATTTTTCAAGGCCAGGAAAAGGCAAGGATTAACTCTACAGCCTTATGAAGGTTATTTATTTATTTTTTGTCGGTCATTGGGCTTGAACTCTGGGCCTGGATGCTATCCCTCAGCTCTTCAGCTCAAGGCCAGCGCTCTACCGCTTGAGCCACAGTGCCACTTCGGATTTTCTAGTGGTTTATTGGAGATAAGAGTCTCAAGGACTTTCCTGCCTAGGCTGGCTTTGAACTATAGATCCTCAGATCTCAGCCTCCTGAGTAGCTAGGATTACAGGCTTGAGCCACCGGCACCCGGCATGAAGGTTATTTTAAGGGGTTTTTATATAGGAATTTCCTAGAGAGAAGCAAAGGTGAAAAGAATGGTCTAGAGTAAGTAACAAGGGTGTTGGTTGGTTATCTTGCATTTGCAGATTAGTGACTTCAACTTTGAAAAAGAGCCTTATTTTTTATTAGATTTTCTTTTGGAACACAGCTCTGTCCCTAATTTGAGAAGTTCTACTGTTCTGGAAATATATATGTCTAGAAGTAGAAGAATGCTTGTTCCTGATTCAGATCCCTGTCATTAGTGTATGAGTAGACAAAGCTCAAAGGTGATTTCTCTAGCAATTGGGTGGTAAGGAAATGGACAATGTGTGGGTAGCAGAGGAAGTTCTTCTTCCTTTACTGTCCTCTTATTAATATAAAGGAATTCAGCTTAGAATCCATGAGCAATATCCGACAATGAGCCCTGAGCATACTAGTAACCACTTAGAATACATGCTAGCTTCCCAGAGAGGCCAGACAGTAAGTGGCTTCTGCTTCTTAAATAGGAAAGTGGCTGTGTCATGTGCTCCCACAGAGGAAACAAGAGACACATTCTCCATTCTCAGCCTTTCTCCTAGGATTTCTACTTGGAGAAGGTGCTATATGGGAAATTAACAGATTCCTCAATGTGAACATTTAAATGAAACACAGCGCACGAACACAAACCTACCCATGTAACTGATCCTTCATCAAAGCATCCCCACAATGGAGTCCTGTATGTTTGATTCTTAAAATATCTAATTGGAGTCCTGTATGTTTGATTCTTAAAATATCTAATAATGTTGTAACCAGTGTCTATTCAAAAGGGTTTGTTGTTTTAGTCATTCTGTAGTGATAAATGCAAGATCCTTATCAAATTTCTCTTTCTTTGTTGTTTTACAGTTTCCTCCTTGTCTTTGGTTGCTTGATTTTGTCAGTGTTTTCAACCATCCCTGAGCACACGAAACTGGCATCAAGTTGCCTCTTAATTCTGGTAAGTGAAACATGGATCAGAATTGCATGAAGTATGTATAATAGAAGTAGTTGTGACCTTTGATCCATGCATTTAATCCCACAAAAAGTTTTATTTATTACTATGAAATGTGTAATAATATGTGAAATGAAAGTTTCAAATAGAAACATTTTCCTACCAGCGTATATTATAATAAATTCTCAGAAACACCTAGAAATGTTTAGGATTGGTATTATTTGGCAATGTCTTGTGACGGTTATATCATAAACAGAAGACTACATGAAGCAATTTTAATTATGTTTACCTATGCTAATGAATTAGAGTGAAAGTCAGTATCCATGAGCTCTGTCTTTATTACAAGACTACAGGGCAAAGAATATTTTACAATAGCCACAGCTTAGCAGTAGCTAAGGATAATTAGCTAAAAACTAGATAATCTTGGCACCTCATAAGGAAATTGAAGGCTCCTTCATGTTTTTTCAACTTGCATACTGAATTGTGAGCTCTGCTGCTAATGCAGCTACCTAGTGGGAAATTCCACAGCTCGCTCTGTTTCCATTATGCTGACAATGCTCTGCTGCACAGAATTTACTCAATTCACTTTCAGATGTAGAAAGATCCCAAGATATTTTAGTCCAAATTATTCTGAACCTTCTAAACTCTTATAGTTTCTATTACAATGAAATTATAGCACTGTATACTCAAATCACATCTGACTGAAGGGTTAGTTCATTTATTTCCATTTCAACCCTGCTACCTTAGTCCAAACTGATCAGACTTGACAGGAACTGGAATAACTCACTTTTCTAATGCCTAGCGGAGCTCAGTTATCATTGCTTTAGTTTGTAATCCTAACTTACTCAGGAGGCTGAGATCTGAGGATCACAGTTCAAAACCAGCCAGGAAAGTTCATGAGACTTGTGTCTCCAATTAACCACAAAAAAATGTAAATGGACCCAGGTTCTGTTGGTTCACACCTGTAATCCTAGCTACTCAGGATGCTGAGATCTAAGGATCTCAGCTGGAAGCCAGCGGGGCCGGAATGTCCATAAGAATTCTATCTCCAATTAATCACCAAAAAAGCCAAAAGTAGTTTAGTGGCTTAAGTGGTGGAGTGCTAGCCTTGAGCACAAAGGAGTCCAGGGACCACTCCCAAGCCTAGAGTTCAAGCCCCAGGGCCTGTGATTTTAAAAAACAAAAACAAAAAAAGAGAACAAATAAAAATGAAACTAAGGCTTCAAGTGGTAGAGAACTAGCCTTGAGCAAAAACAAACTCAACCAAACAAACAAACAAAACAAAACAAAAAACTAAGGGACCAAAGCCTAGCTAGACCCTCAGTTGAAGTACTGGCACAAAAAATAATAAATATATCAACTTAAATGGAATAGACAGGAAGGAGGGGATGTAGTTTAAAATAGTTTATGCTCATAAATCGCTAGATTGGTTATATACAGAAGGAAGTATTTAATATGAAAATGATGCTATCAGCATTAATATGTAAAACAGGAATGTTTCCACTCAGATAATCCAGAAGGGCAGATGCTGGTCCGACTTGTGCTTTCATACAGTCAGTTTGTATTTGAGTTGGCAAGACTTCATCAAGCTTTATTCTCAATAATAGGGAAAAATTATTTCTGAATTAGGAAAAATTACCTGTGCCAATTTTTCTCTATACAAATTGTACAAGCAATATATTGTTAACATCATGTTTATGGTTTCAAAACCTAATATAGATAATCAACAGACCAAAGAGCAATTTGAACGTTGGTTCCATTTACAAGGTTTCAATTCGGGTAGCCAGTAGTCTTTCAACCTGCTTACGCATTTGATTACTACAAATGATCTCAGCCAGATCTAAGGCACAGTGGTCTTTAGGTCCTTTTACAACCAAGAACTTTACCTTAAAAATATAAATCAGACTTTCAGAAGTAGAAACATGAATAACAGGATTTACCTCATGACCAAAGTTATATATTAGGAATAAATCCATCATTAGGAATCCCATAAAAATGTTTATTTCAAAACTAAGAATCCAGGGCTGGGAAGGTGGCTTGGTGGGAGAGTGCTTGCCTTGCATGCATTAGGCCTTGGGTTCGATTCCTCAGCACCACATAAGCAGAAAAAGCCGGAAGTGGCACTGTGGCTCAAGTGGAGAGCACTAGCCTTGAAGAGCTGAGGGACAATGCCCAGGCCCACGACTGAACAAAAAACAAAACAAAACAAAACTAAGAATCCAGAAGAGTAGGTTACAACCTCAAATTTCTGAAATACAAATTCAGTCACTGCTAATAAATTCCTAAATAGATCAAAGGAATCTGTGCAACTATAATCTCCAAATTGATCATGATGCTGATAATTTAAACCTGTTCAATAATGAACAACAGTCAGTAACTATAATATAGTTTGGTAGATAAAAATGAAGACAGACAAGCACTGGTGGCTCATGCCTGTAACCCTAGCTACTAAGGACTGTGGTTCGAAGCCAGCCAAAGCAGGAAAATTTGTGAGACTCTTATCTCCAATTAACCATTAAAAGCCATAAATAGAACTGTGGCCCTAGCCTTGTGTGGAAAAGCTAAGTGACAATGACCAAGCCCCAAGTTCAAGCTCCAGCACTGGCAAAAACAAAAACAAAAAAAAATAAGATGCACAAGACTAGGGTTTTTCTACATGTTTCCCCAGCTGATCTCAAATTCCTAGGCTCAAGCAATCCCCTGCCTCAGCTTCCTGAGTAGCAGAAAATATCAGCACATGTTACCATTTCCAGTGTGAAGTCACTTTTGTATACATTTATGTGCCTTGCTGGTATGCAAATATAACACTAGAGGAATAAATTTAGTCATATATCTCAATTGTCTTTTTGTAACTTTATCCCTTTAAGGTTTTAAATTAATATTTTAAATGTGGTCAGAGATTTCCTATAATTTTACTTCTATGTAAATAAAAGCTGCCCACTTGTCTAACTGGGAGAAAGAGGAGGAGGAGGAAAAAGAAGAAGAGGAAAGGGAGAAAGCTGGTAGAGGAATAACACTATCTGATTTCAATAGCTCACATATTTTTTTTATTTTTTTTTTATTGTAAAGATACTATACAGAGGGTTACAGTTACCTGAGTGAGGTAATGAGTTCACTTCCTCTTGAACATTGTTACCCCCTCCATTGTTTTCCCCCTACCATCCCCTCCCTCCCTCCCTTCCCCGAGGTTCTTTTTTTTTTTTTTTTGATTGTGATTAAGTGATTACATAATTTCTAAGTCACAAGTTCATTCTAACTTTCCTGGAGCAAATTGTCTATCACAGTCTGTAATATATAACAGTGTTCACATGTTATATTCCATATTTGTGATCAGCAGCGTGGGGATATTTAGTAGTGGTTCAACCAGATGAGCGGGAGTTCTTTGTTTCTTAAGTCCTGTTAGTTTTGTCGTATCACCTAACATTTTGGATTTAGCATCCACTTATCAGGAAGACCATGTACCATTTGTCTCTTCGTTCTTGGCTTACCTCGCTCAACATGATTCCTTCTAGCTCCATCCATTTCCCTGCAAATACCATTATTTTGTCATTTCTAATGGCTGCATAATATTCCATTGTGTATAGATACCACAATTTTTGGATCCATTCATCTGTGGTGGGGCATCTAGGTTGTTTCCATATCCTAGCTAATAGCTCACATATTTATAACGAACTATACTAAACAAAATGTTATGGCATTGTCATAAAGGCAAAGTTGTACACTAAGTGTAGTAGTGGAAAATAATAGTCCAAAAACAAATCCTTGCATATATCGTTAAGTGATTTGTGTGTGTGTGTGTGTGTGTGTGTGTGTGTGTGTGTGTGTGTGTGTGTAGGGAGGCGGGAAGTGAGGGGGGAAGGTAAGGGGGTAGGGGGAGGAGGATCATGGGGCTTGAACTCTGGGCCTGGGTGCTGTCTCTGAGTTCTTCAGCTGAAAGTGAGCACTCTAGCACCTGAGCCACAGGGCCACTTCTGGGTTTCTGAGTGTTTTATTGGAGATAAGAGTCCCACAGACTTTCCTGCCCAGACTGGCTTTGAACCATGATCCTCAGATCTCAGCCTCCTAAGTAGCTAGGATTACAGGCATGAGCCACCAGCACCTGGCTGTTAAGTGAGTTTTGACAGGAATAGCAAAGCCATTCAGTAGGCAAAGGTCTCTTTTTAACCAACGATGCTGGAAACATTCACATATAGGAGAATGAACTTGAACCCTTATCTAACACCATAAACAAAAATTAAACCAAAACTGGATGAAAAACCCACCTCAAAATCTAAAACTCATAGTTGAAAACAGAAGGGTAAAGTTTCATGGCTTTTACTTTTTTGTGTGTGTCTGCCTATGGGTCAGTACTGGGGGCTTGAACCCAGGGTCTTATGCTCTCATGTGTTTTTGTGCAATCCTCTACAACTTGATTCACACCTTTACTTCTGGCTTTTTGCTAGTTGATTGGAGATAAGCAGCTCAAGGTCTTTTGTATCTGGGCTGGCTCAAAACTTAATTCTCAGATGACCTTAATTCTCAGATCTCATTCACCCAAGTAGCTAGATTACAGGCATGATCCCCATACATTCACTTTGACAGTGATATCTTGGTCATAATATTAAAGGAAAAGACTACAAAACATAAAAAAAAGACAAATGGTTCTTCAGGAAAAAAAATTAAATTGTGTCAATAAACAATCATCAACATAGTAAAGAAATGGAAAGACTGAAAAAAATCGTATTAAGTAAGGCAGACCCAAAGAAACATAGATCCCATGGTTTTCCTCATTTGTAATAATTAGAGTATGTCTAGGATAGTCCTAGCAGAGGATCATAATAGGTCAATAGCTATGTATATATGACCATATAAAATGATGCTAATCAAAATGAACTCTATGATATGAAAACAAAAGGGTTTTCTTTGTTGTTTTTAATGTACTATGTGATTTCTTTTTCCGTATGTGTGTGTGTGTGTGTGTGTGTGTGTGTGTGTGTGTATTTTGGTTTATCCTCTGTTGTCACTGT